TTTTATTAAAATCTCTTTGTTTGTCTGAATTTCACTCATGTAATTTTTATTTCTATATATTAGTAAAGCATTTAGTTGACTTTTATTGTAATACTTACATATTAGTATCGTTATTTTTCTTCTTGTTCATTGGAGCAACAAACCCCAAGGTGGGCCGTCTGCCTACTGGCAGATTTCGAGACAGAAAATGTTTTGGTTTGTTAGCCTAACGCTTTACACTCATGTTAGACAGGACCTACTGTTATTCCGAACTACTACAGAGTCCTTGACACCTCCGCGACTCGAATGTGGAACGCGGAACCTAGCGCTCAGTTCGTCAGTTCGCTGGTCACTCGGTCATCAGAGACTAGTGCTGTTATATAATTTTTAACTTTCTAATATGAACTATTTGTACGTTAAAGCTTGTCTAAAATTAAAATTAAAGCACTAAACTATTATTTTTTGTTAATTTTATTCGGTAAAATTACTCAGACAATGTAATTATATATTCTTTTTACTAGAATACAAATGGAACAGTGAATTAAAAATATAATTTATTACTTTATTTTTAATTTATTTTCAATTCGTCTGTTTTCCTATTTATCTTTTATATCATTGACGAATTGGGTTTTTTTTCTAAAGTATTTATTTTTAAACATCTGAATATAGTGTTTTTTATTTAATTTTCTTAGCATCAGTAAGAATATAGATAGAGATTAAAATAAATTTAAATCTAGATATAATATATAAATTTAAAAATAAAAAAATTTATTTAATTTTAAAAAAAAAAATTGAGAACATTAAAAAATATATATAATTATTAAAAAATTATTTAAAAATTTAAAAATTAAAAATATATATATAATAAATAATTATTTAAATTAAAAATTATTAAATATTACTTATAAAATATGAAAATTAAATACATATATATATATATATGTATATAATTTTTAAAAATTATTAAAAAATAAAAGTTAATTTAATATATAAATTAACCTTTAATTCGAAAAAAATCGAACTAAACGTCGAGGTTAATAATAAATTTAAATACTAAACAATACTTTTTCTTAATGTATAGGGTAAAAAATTTATGTTAGTAAAGATAACAAATTTCTTTTTAACATACATACTAATATAACAATATGTATAGCGATATATAGTATGCAAAATATGATGCAAATTTTATATTAGTATATGATTTAAGAAATAAGTATTCATTTTATTTAAATATCTCTAACATATTATAATATCTGTCTGATGTTCTTATAGATATATTTAAATATCCATAAGAACATTAATTAAATAATCGAAAGATATTTCAAAATAATACATTAAACAATTCGCGGAAGATATTTATCCAACCATCCACAAACAGTGCTATCCGCCTATAAAATCCTCTGCTACATATTCATTTTGTCCAATAATTTCGCTTATTTTACTGTAATTATTCGCGATCATGAAAATTAAAATTAATTATTCAGATCTCGGGAGAGTTACAGAGAATGACAGGCTAAGCGTGAAACGTGAAACCTCATTAATTAAATATTTAGACTCGAATATTTATGACGCCCTATCCGATTTTCAGCATTTTCTTTTTCCGTTCTCGTCATTTTCTAATGCTGTAATCCTTTGCCACTCGATAAATTGGAAACGAAATATTCAATAGATTATCATTTGCCAAGCAATATGGGCGAAATTCAAATGGACATTGCTTTGCTTTTATTAAAGGAATTTTTAATTAATATTATTTTTTAGCACGTATTAATTTCAAATACTAGTTTAATTTTCCTTGTATCTAAAAATTTCTAATGAAATATTTAGTTTTGTTATTATTTTTAAAACAAAGAATTAATCTTGAATCAATTTTGTGCCCAAGTCATGGATCAGTGGCATAGCTCGTCGCTGATGAGTATTAGGGCGGAGGTTCAATTCGTTGCGGCTTTATTGTAGACCAGGGATGGACAAACTACGGCCCGTCGTAAGGTTCTATCCGGCCCGCAGATAAAATTTTTAATTGCTCGATCCGAGGCAAATTAAGAAAATATATATTTATATATTATATATCCATCTCCTTACTACTTTGATTAAATATTTTTTCTTCTTTTTTTTTCAAAGGACTTATGGTCTTTTACTTTCTCTATTTTTGTTCTACAAAACATAAATCGACGGAATTGCAAACGGATTTGCAGGTTAAATAAATTGACTTGCAAACTAATAATCATCTCAAGCAGTTGTTTCTAAAAATGCCAAAGTTAGTATTCTACAAATCATTATTGAAAGTAAATTTCCCAAATTTAATATCTCACGCCCAAAAAAAATCAATGCTATGTTTGCTTCATCTTATATATGTGAAGACAAGTGTTTTCAACTATGAACCTTAGAAATAATTTTTCAATGAGCATTTAGCCTCGTTCCTTAGAATCACTTCGAACCTCAATATAAGAAACTTTTAAAAATGAAATGGCAGTTTCATTCATCTCATTAACATATTTAAATTGTAATACTTGTATATTGCTTTTAAAATTTTAGAAAAATTTATCTTGGCCTGCCAAACGTTTCTTTTTCGATTTTTGGCCCGCGGCTGTAAAAGTTTGCCCATCCCTGTTGTAGACACTGTTTCAAAGAACGATGAGACTAGATGGCGTTTGTGATGTTCAGCATCTTTCCTCGTGAGTCGGACATCTACCTGATGGGCAATTGGCTAACGCTCTGACTTTTCGTACCACAGGATTCAGGTTCGAATACCGGCGGTGCAGTGGATGTTTGTAGTGGTTCAGAATCCACTTCAATCCGTAGGTTTCCGGTCTCATAACCGTAGAGCGTCGCATAGCCCAATCAGACCCATATCATGTTTCCCAAACTGTAAAGGGACAATTCAGCTCTAGGCACAGTGATGTAGTGTGATGTAGTAGTAGTAATCCATCTTAAACTGCACGTCCCGGTCTAATTAACCCAAAGTGAGCACAAAATGACCATAGTGGCACAAACCAAACCAATAGTTAGTCGGACTACCTGGTTTTCTCGCATACGATAAGCAAATGCGGGTAGTTCCTCCTAAAAGTCCTCCCAGAAATCACTGCCCTCCTTCTTCAGCGTCACGGAGCCAATTCAAACTTCTACCTGCCGATACGCCATTGCAAACATAAGCTGCCTACCCCATCCTTTGAGATCACACGGGTTCATGGACTAAGTAGTCTAGATGTTGCTGTCCACCAAGTGGGAATAGAAATAACAACAGATAACGTTGTGTCAAAAGTCTTGATTAAATTTCATGTATGGAAAGCCGTTGAAATCCTCTATTATTCACCATATAAAATTATAGAGTTATAAATTTTATTAATGTTATTTATTAAATTATTAAATCATTTCATTTTCTGCCAGAGATCTTCAGATATCTCTTAAATGAATACAAAAAGCTTAAATAATTTCGGAATACAAATATCTTTAAAAACATTTCTTTATATTCTCCAGTATATATTTTGAAAATAAAATGAATCATGGAATGGTGGATTTTTCAAACCTTCTTTATATCCAAGTATTAATTTCCTTTCCCCTCGTACTTGCTGAACCTGAATATTTTTTTTGCTTGAATTTGAAATTTATTAGATTAGAGAAAACATTCAGATTAAATAGATAAATTATTACATCTTTCCCACATCGCATAAAGCAGACATTTCTCACAGATATAGAGCGACTCAGATATGCGCACCACACAAAAAGACACAAAGATTGGTGGGAAAAAAAGTCCCAGACCCGAAGTGATCCAATCAATGCATATTTCCATTCAACAAGCTTCACACCTGAACACAGTTCATTGACTTGGTAACAGCGAGGCATCGCCTGCCTCCTTCCGAATATCGTTTTCAGGGGGGTGGAGGGGGTTGGAGAGGGCTAATGGTTATGGTGGTACGTGAAAGAAAGTCCGATCGAGCCAGTGAGGAGTGCAAACAGCTAATGAACTCATTTTGAACACAAGGGGAAAATCGCGCTCCAGGAAGCCATGATGGTGCGGCGACTGCAAATGCGATATTTATGACGTTGATCAACCGTTAGCATGGGAGGCCGTAGAGGATATGACATGGATGGTATGGGAATAATGACAATGAGTTTATATATCCGCAACCTAATCGGAAATACCGAAATGCATCCTGATTTGATCATCTTAAAATGGGGGTAGAAAGCAACAAATATTTCCCATTTTTAACATGGTTTTGTTAATCTTAAATTTGTGTAGTACCTTAATTATCAGAAAAAAATGCAATGCAATAAATAACATGAGAGAAATGGAAACAAATATTTTCAATATTTAACATGTGGTAATAGCGAGGCCTATCGCCTGCCTGCTTCCGAATATCGTATTCAGGGGGAAGCGGGGAGGCTAATGGTGATGGTGGTACGTGAAAGAAAGTCCGCGAGCCAGCGAGGAGTGTAAACAGTTAATGAACTCATTTTGAACACAAGGGGGAAATCGCGCTCCAGGAAGCCATGATGGTGCGGCGTCTTCTCCGGCGACTGCAAATGCGATATTTATGTTGATCAACCGTTGGCATGGGAGGAAATCACATGGATGGTATTTGGGAATAATGACAATGAGTTTATGAATCCGCAATCTAATCTGAGATACCGAAATGCATCCTGATTTGATAATCCTAACATGGGAGAGAAAGCAACAAATATTTCCCATTTTTAATATGGTTTATTTCATTTTTAATTTGTGCAATACCTTAATTCTTAAAAATAAAACTGCAATGTAAAAAGTAACATGGGGTGAACGCAACACATATTTTCAATTTTTAGCAAGGTTTATTTCGTTTCAAATTTGTGCAATACCAAAATTCTTAGAAAAAGGCAATGTAATAAATAACATGGGGGATAAGGCAACTTCAATATTTAACATGGTTTATTTGTTTAAAATTAATAATGCGATACAACAAATGCAATACAACAAATAAGTGATTTGTTATAAAATAATAAATACATGTATGTATATAAATGTATGTATGTATGTATGTATGCATGCATGTTCTCGTTAGATCACCGAAGTCAAGCATCATTGGGCGCGGTCAGTACTTGGGTGGGTGACCACCTGGGAGCGCCGCGTGCCGTTTGCATTCACAAATTTGGGACCTGAATGGCCGAGTGTCTGGCGCTCGGTGCCACAGGTTTCGGGTTCGAATCCCGGCGGTGCCATGGATGTTTGTAGTGGTTCGAATCCACTTTAAACCGTAGGTCCAGGTCTCCTATGACTAAGAACGTCACGGAGCCAAAGTCGGACTTCTACCTACGGGTGCTCCATCACAACAGAAGCTGCTTCCTTCCCCTTCAATCATGAGTACGTATGGGATCGTGGGCTTGGCCAGCCAAGTGGGATAAGAAACAACAAAACAACAATATATATATATATATATATAGCCATATAACAACAATAAAATAATGTTATATTTGTTTCTCAAAAAGTAATTTAAAAAAAAGGAAAACAATAACCAGTAAAAAATTAGCTAATGCATAATCAAAAATGTAAAGTATTATGTATCAACTGAAATATGTTTTTTACTGTACAAAGAATGAAGAGTATTACTAAACCCGTCAAAAATTTTATTACCAGAAAACTAATAATATTTAATTTATTAACAAAATAATTTATAGATAACTTATTATTATTACTCACAAATATTTAATATTAAAACAAGATAAGACATACGCAAAATAAATAAATAATAATAAAAAAAAAAATATAAATAAATAATAATAATAATAAAAATACACCGTTAAAAAGATACCAAAAAAAAAAAATTGTATGATTGTTACAAGTTTACACATTTCATAACTATAACAACTATCTGTCATTACATAAAACGTTAATAATGTGTATAAACAAAAATAAATAATTTTTTTCTGCAAAAGTCTTTTTGCTACTCTTTGGGGGTTTGGTTTGTCACTCTACAGTCATTGATTTACAAAACTTGAAGCTAATTTGACCATGACCTACAGTTTAAAGAGGATTCCGAACCACAACCAAATATCCATGCCACTGCCATGATTCGAACCTAAATAATAAGCAAAAATAATTTCCTGAAAATACTACAGGAAATGGAATAGTATGTTTTACAATAAAATGAAAAGATGAGAGACTTTTTTTGCAATATATTAATTTTCAATAATGGTAACGGTCCTCTTCGGGGCGTTGTAATATTACGTCGTCAGTAAAAAAACGAAGGTTTGATTTTCATTAATGGCCGGCAAATTAACCGTTGCTTTTTAAAAAAATACGTCATAAATTGTATTGTGCCAGGATGTCTTATATTTACAATCAAACTAAACCTAGTTTTCTCCAATATCACATGGTATATGGGTATTTAGACTTCTCATAAGGCATTACCCCTTTCCCTTCTCTTCTTGTGGGTTAAATTAACTCGCGATAAATAACGATGAAACTGCTACAATTTCATAACACCCTTTTGACTAGTTACGTTCTATCTATAGCCTCTCTTATTAAACCATGTCAAAAAACATGATTCTTAATAAATAAAGTTGTGTGGGTTGATATTATCAAATAGGATGTGCGAAAAATACTAAGTTGATATCATCAAATAGGATGTGCGAAAATACTGAGTTGATATTATCAAATAGGATGTAGTCGAAATTAAACATAATAAATCTGTTTGTTTGTTTGTTGTTTCTTATCCCACTTGGCTGGCCAAGCCCACGAGCCCACACGTACACATGATTGAAGGGGAAGGAAGCAGCTTCTGTTGTGATGGAGCACCCGTAGGTAGAAGTCTGGCTTTGGCTCTGTGACGCTCTTACAGTCATAGGAGACCGAGGATTCCGAACCACTACAAACCTCCATGGCATCGCCGGGATTCGAACCCGATACATGGGGCACCGAGCGCCAGAGCGCTAGACACTCGCCCATTCAGGTCCCAAATTTGTGAATGCCATCGGCCCGCGGTGTTCCCAGGTGGTCACCCACCCAAGTACTGATCGCGCCCAATGCTGCTTGACTTCGGTGATCTAACGAGAACCGGTATATTCAGCATGGTATGGCCGCTGGGTTTATAGGGTTGGGCCTGTTATAGTGTTTATTAGTGCTCTATTTAAGCATATGAATCATATGTATCATATTGAACAGAACTAATAAAAAAGTTTAAACATTTCAAAAAAGTGATATTAATAAAATCCCCCATTTTTATTCCTATTGTAACGTCTCGGCCTATACTAGACCTAAAATGGCTTCTAGAAGAGGTCCACTTAACCAACGAGAAAGGTTGTGTGTGGTTCATCGGAACCATTCCATTTTCTTTATAGCATTATATATATATATATATATATATATATATATAATGCCAGTGGCTTTAGAAGGGATCAGCTTCCTGTTTCGTAAATAAAGTTCTGTATATAAATAAATACTATATATATATATATATATATATATATATATATATACATAAAGAACTCTATTTAAAAACTTGAAAATTAAAGATATCAATTAATTTACAAATGCAGTTCACTTCAAGAATGAAGATTTTATGAGTTCTCAAGTCTATGATGAATCTATTTCACCAGGCCTGTAACAGACCTTACTTATCTCATGGCGTGATACACGAATCCGATTTCCGCCTGTTTTTAAAGAGGATCACTTTTTAAAGTGATCCTCTTTAAAACAGGCGGAAATTCCGGTTCAGAGAAAAAGACAAGACTTCTTGTCGACTCGCGCGCAGAACACTTTTCTTTGTTCAAAAAACCTCTTGAAGAAAATCCGTCAAGAAGGAGGGAGGTCAGCTGCCTTCCCTTCTGATTGGAGTCGACATTTCTTCAGCGCATGGTCTATCACTAATTCAGATGCGGCAACTTATCAAGTAGTCCATTTCCAGTCTGTAACTATTTTGACCTCTGATGGTCGAACAGGCAATCGCTAATTTTATGATGTCATTATCCATGACATTGATTATCTGTTGTAATATTTGAGTGGGAGAATGTTCTCGTTAGTACAAAACACTAATTGCATGTAATATAACTATCAGGGTCATTGATTATCTGCTGTCTAGTTTGAGTGATAAGTTGTTATTACGGTACTTGTTAAAAATATACATTCCTCTCTCCTGGGAGCAAAATGCTGCAACTCTTCTCGTGGGAAATATTCAAAAAATAATCACATTATTTAGTTCAAACATTTCCTTTAAACCAGCCCTAAAAATAATTCATTGGACATTTTCGTGGAACAAATGTATTTAACATTTCATTTATCTTTTACTGAATGAAATTTTGCAAGGTGAAAACTGAAGAATTTTATCAAATCTAAAGAATTAAACAAATTAAATAAATACATTTTATAAATTCAGTACTTAATTTAGATTACTATGTATACTAAAGAAAATATAAATCCATATTCTGTAACATTCATTGCCATTTTGTTGGTGACACTATATAGTAACACGATGCTCTTTGGTCACAAAATACCTCTTCTATTGTTCTCTAACAATTCTTTTTACCAGTAACAAGAAAGGGGCAAAAAGAAAAAGAAGATAGAAAAGACGAATTGGCGATTCCGTTAGAAGAGATCAGCTCCCAGAATTCGTATTCGAGTGGCGATTTCAGCTAAACAAAAAGCCATTCGCAAGACGAATTCGCGTATTTCTTGCGCCCTTCTTTCTCTGGAACACGGAATGCTATTCGAAGAAGAATTCGAAGAATGCAGAACAGAAAACGAGAAAAAGAAGAAGAAGAGAAATAAATAAGCAGAAAAAGTACAGAAGGCAGAGGAAAAAAAAAATAAATAAAAAAGGAAAGGATAATCGATCCAGACAAGGATGATCCTTCTTGAAGAATTATGCTGTCCTTCATTCGGGGGAAAATGGTCGCTCAGACAGGGGGTGTATCGTTTCCGAAAGAACCAATCAACGGTCGAAATCAGATCAGTCCGGTTTGGAAAGAGTTGAAAGGAGTTTTGTCGTTGGCCACTTCCGTCTGTCTTTTTCTTTTGCTTCAATCCCGACTTAAAATTGCTTTTTTGACTGTCATTTCGATTGCGATTGCTTAACTGGGAGAGTGCTTAATTGGCTGTCGAGGGCCTAAATGGCGTCTGTAATGAGAGGCTAAATAGAATGCTATATATTTTTCGTATTTTATCTTTAAAGATAGCACTGCGCTTCACAGATAAAAATCGTAGTAAACTACAAATAATAGTAAATCAATATATTTTTATTGAAAAATAATATATCTACCGCTTGGTTTGGTTTTAGCTCTACTGTCATTTTGTGCACAGAATGGGATAATTAGACAGGAACCTAAGATTAACATGGTTTCTAAACAACTAACAAACATCCATGGCACAGCCAGATTCGAACCTGAAGCCTGTGGCCAGATATCTACTGTTATGTGAATATAATGTGTATGTTGAAATTTATAATATGTTAATTACATCGCTGTTGTTTAAAGAGACAAATATATTTATATTAAATAAATTGTTTCGCTAATCTTTGAAAATAAACATTTAATTGTAAAATAACAAATTTGGATAGTTATTTAAATTATCTAATAGGACATTACATCTAAATAACAGCAAGTGTAGAGGTTTTTGTTGCAAATGAATATATCTATGAATATAATGTGTATGTTGAAATTTCCAATATGTAAATTAAACAGTTGTTGTTTAAAAGGAGCAAATATATTTTTATTATGATGTTCTTAATAAATAAAATGTTTCGTTAATGTCTGAAGATAAACATTTAATTTTTAAAATAGGAATTTAAATAGTTATACAAAGAATATAATATGTTTAATACATATTCTGTGATTTTCACTGCCATTTTGTTGGTGACACGACCAAGTAACGCAAAATACCTCTTGCTCTTTGGTCACAAAATACCTCTTCTATTGTTCCCTAACACTTCTTTTTACCGGTAACAAGAAAAGGAAGAAAAATAGAAGAAGATAGAAAGAGACGAATTGGCGATTCCGTTAGAAGAGATCAGCTCCTAGAATTCGTATTCGAGTGGCGATTTCAGCTAAACAAAGCCATTCGCAAGACGAATTCGCGTATTTCTTGTGCACTTTCTCTGGAACACGAAATGCTATTCGAGGGGGGCAGAAGACGAATTCCGAAGA